AATTTAAAAACTTCCTTTATATACTACTTAAGCTAGGGTAAAATATCCTTTACGTTTTAAAACCCGTTTATTTTAATTATCCTTACTAAGATCTTTAGCCTCGCATTTTTAATATAAATTAGAGTAGTAATTATTAACTTATTATATTTAAAAAATAGCTTAGTATTTTATATAAATAGGAGACTTAGTAATAACGGATCGGAGGTCTTTTACTTATCCTTAATAAAAAAATAAGTAGTTATTTTAAACTTATTAATTTATACGTTTATAAAGTAGAAACTATTAAAAGCTATTTAGCTAGTTAGATTATATTTAAACGTCTATATTTAAAGCTTTATTATTATATAAGAAATACTAGCTTTTTTAACGTATTATTTTAAAAAGATATTAACTTATACCCTAGTATTTAGGATCGTAATAATTATCGAACCCTTATTATCCTAATTTATATTAAATATCTAGATTTTTAATTATAAATAAGCGTTTAAAATTTTAAAAATTAAAATTTTAAAACTTAAATTAGCGCCTCTAATTTTATTAATCTTAATTATATAGCTCGGTTTTAAAAAGAGGTTCTTATTATACTTATTAAAAAGATTTTTAATATCCTTTTATTATTATCTATTTTTTACTAAGTTAATTAAGGATTTCGGAGTTTTTAATAAGATTTTATTAATATTAAAATACCTTTAATTATATATTAAAATTACTATTATTATAATATATTTTAATATAATTTTTTATAAAAGGTTTATAAAAAGCGAGATTAGAGTTTTAAATCTCTTTTTTATTAGCTTTTTAACCTCTACCCTAAGGTTAAAAATATGGGGCTAATTTATAGTTATCGTTTTCTAAGTCTTATAAAAAAGAAGCTTTTAAATTCCCTAAGTACTAATATTAGAGGTACTAATTAGAACTTTAATAAGCTAGGGCTTAGAAATAGATTTAAAAATTACGTTTTTTATTATTTTAAAAACCTCGTTATTATTATTAATTTTTATAATTTCTTTCTTTTAATTAAAAAAAGAAACCGTTTTTTTTTTAAGTTATAAAGGCTAGTTTAGGCTATTAATCCTATACGTTTTTTTTAAAATAAAGTTTAGTTATTAAAGTACGGTTTTTAAGGAGTCTTTTTTTATAAATAGTATAAATATTTACTTAGTTATAATAGTTTAAATTAAGTTATATTATATAAACGTATTTAATTATATTTATAAAATTAGTTAAAAGGAGTATAAGCATAGTTTATTAAAGTAGTTTAATTTAGTAGTTTAGAATTTACTTAGTTAAGAGCTTAGTATTTTCTTTAGTTAATATATTTACTATATAAAAAAAGAGGGTAATACGATTAGCAATTATATACTTTTTTTTGTTTTTAATTATAATAAAGGGGATATTATTTATAAGTTTATAACCGTTATACTTTTTATAATACTAAGCTCCCTAAGCTAAAATAATAAAATAAGTATTTTTATTAAGAGTATACTAATTGTAATCCCTAATAATTTAGTAGTATTAACTTTAGTAATATTAATAGCGATTTTTAGGTTCTATAATTAGGGGCCGATTAAAATATATAGTACTTATATTAAATATATAAGTAGGGCTTTGAGAATAAATACTATTTTAATAAATTTTTAGCTTATTTATTTTATTAGCTAGGTTAAAATTAGTAATATTATTAATAATTATTTAGGTAACTTAAACCTCTATTATTAATTAGCGATATTACTAGCGGTTCGGATATTAATATTAAATATTATTATACGCTTAAAGAGTAGGGGGCTACGGTAAGGGCTCGGGTTAACTTTAGCTATTTATAAAAAATAAACTATACTCTTTTTTATACGTAATTATATTAAAAAATCTTATTTTAAACCTCGCATATTTTATTAATTTAATAAAGCTATTTAGAGTAACCCTAACTTCTTTTATTACTTTTTTTATAATATTAGTATAGAACTACTTATATACGGCCTTAATTAGGCTCTAATTAGTTATAATATAAAGGTTTTATTATTTAATAAGGGTAATTATATTATTAATTTTAATAAATAGTACTTAAATAGAGTTTAAATTAGAAAATAAAATAAGTAATCCCTTAGTAACTTTTTTAATTTATTTTTTTTTATTTAAAAAGCGGTTAGTATCCTATTTTTTATACTTTTTTAAAAAAAAATCCTTAGCTTAGGCCTAAGGTAGTCCTCTAATCGTATTTTTAATTAAAGTTTAATAATCTCTTTTTATAATATATATAATAAGTTTACTTTTAAATCGGTCCGGGACCCTACTGATTTTATACTAATCCTCGAACGTTTTTAAAACATTTACGATATTATTATTTTTAAAAATTATAATCCCTTCTTAACTAGGGAATAGTATTTTATAAAAACCTATATTTTTTATTAAATTAAACTAAGGAATTATAAAGCCCTTAGTTTAAAATATAGCTATTTAAATCTAAGTAATAATAGTACTTAGGAAAGTATTAATTAAAATATTTATCTTAACTTAAGCTATAACTAGCTTTTTTTAATTAAATTAGTAAATAAATTTATTAAAAAAAGTAACCTTTTTATTATTTAATAATTTTATATAGTAGTTTTTTTTCCGGCTTTATAAGCACAAAAGATCGACCTTAACGGGATCACGCTTTCAAAGGAAATTATATAATATAATATACTTTTTAACTATACAATACGCACAATATATCCTAAGTACGCACTTAACATAATATAATAATTTTAATATAAAAATTACTATTTAATTCGGGATAAGTAAACTACCTTACGGTAGCGCTAACTAGAAAAGTCAATAATAAAAGTCGGCCATAATAATTAGCTATAATAGTTAGTTATAATAGTTAGCTATAATAGTTAAAAGCGGCCTTCCTTAACTACAGAAGTTCTAAACTTTAATAGTAACGTAGAGGTTTTTAGAAAAAGGGCTAAATGGGCTAATATCTACTACTTTTTAGAGCTCGTAAAGATTCTTTCTATCCTTATTACTTCTAATATCGCCTAAAGCTACTCTCTATTTAAACTAAACAAATCTACTAAATAAATCTACTAAATAAATCTACTAAATAAATCTACTAAACAAATCTACTAAACAAACCTATTAATATATAAACTACTACCTCGATAAGAACCTACTCCAAAAATACCCGTTAATAAGTCTACCCCTCTCGGGCTAGGCACCCTCTTCAGCTAGCTCGACGCTATAGTTATTATAACTAACATAAATACGCCTAAAAAGTAGTAAAGTACCTTCCGGGGGTACGGAATTTAGCTAGGTAATATTATAAGCGCCGTAAATAACCGGGCTAATACGGATACTAAGATTTAATATATTAACGCCGGCCTAGTTATAATAACTATGATAAACGGGCTAGAGGTATATAAAGTTAGGGTAATAAGCCGGCGCCTTAAATAGCTCTTATAGGACCCCCTAGGTAATAATAATACTTATATAAAAAAATAGATTATACTAAACTTAGCTACTTACGCGGGCTAGTACTAAGAGGTCCTATACGTATTAAAATAAATAAAACTCGCCCTATAAATAGCTAAAAGCGGCAAAAAGTTAGGAATTAATAAAAAGGAGATAATAGTCGAGTTAGTTAATTACTATTTTAATTAGTAATTAAGTATAGAGCGCAATATACCCAGTTTTCCCTAATACGTAATACACGGTACGGCCCCAGCAGATTACTCCGTTAGGGGGATTTAATAATTTTATAATTTATAAGTTTTAATAAATTATAAAAGCTAGTTTAGTAAATAGTTTATTTAAAATAGAAAGGTTAGGTTTATATAATTAAACGTTTTAAAGGGCGCTAATAATAATAAAAATAATATATTAATTATTTATATTTATAATTTAAAGTTATTAAAAATATAGTTTATTAATTTTATTTATAATTTCGATAGTTTTATATTAGTTTATTTATTTTAAGTAAAGTTTAAAAAGGGAAAAGAAGAGCCGTTTTAATAACTAGAATATAGCTATTATTTTAATTAACATAATTTAAACCGTTCTTTTTAATTCTTATTAAGTATATAACTAAAGTTTTAATTAAATATCGTATTAAGCCTATAATAATACTAATTAAAATTATTAATAGGTCTAGTTAAAAACTAGTTTTATAAGTACCCTTAGTTTAATATATCCATATTTTTAAATAAGTTTATTATTAAATCTCTAAGCTATATTAATTAATAAAGAATAGTCTAGTTAAATAACTAATTATACTTATTAAAACGTTTTATTTATTCTAATCCTAACTTATTATTTATTTTATTATATTATTATAGCGTTTTATATTTAGGCCCGATCTAGTCTTAAGTATTTACGTTCTTTTTTATTTTTTATTTTATTCGTTTCTTAAGGTCTATTATATCTCCCGTTTTACTAAATAAAAAGTCCTTTTTTATACGTCTTTATTATTATATTTTAATTATTTAGTTACTTTTTTTAAATTAGAGTTTTATTACCTATATTTATTTTAATTATTATACTATTTCTTTTAATTAATTATTTAAAATATTTCTAATTAAATCGAGTTTTTTTTTACTTATTTTCTTATTTAATAAAAAAAGGATTTTTAAAAAGGGAAACTATTAAAAACGTATAGAATATAGAGGACTCTCGTAATATAATACCTTAAAAAAATTATTAATACTTATAAAAATAATATAAAATACCTCTTTTAATTAGGTTAATACGGCTTTAATTAATAAAGTTAAAATTAAAAAAAGAGGATAATATTAACTAAATTAAAAAGGTAAACTTCTTAATTATTTTATATTATTATATTTAAAAATAAATTATTAAAAAAGCTCTAGTTCGATTTTAAAAAAGTATATATATAATTAAAATAAAAATCCGCGCTATTAAACTCCCTATTTCTAATCGGGGCCTTTTTCCTTATATTTTTTTCTAATTAGCCCTCTCGTAAATACTTATACTTAATTAATTTTAAAAAAGAACTACTAGGACTAATCGCCCCACCCTATTTTAGTATATAATATAGAATTTAGCTATTTATATAGGTTAGTATAAAGAGGTTTTATATATATTAAAATAAGTATAGCTCGCTCTCTAAATAGCTAGAACTTAGAGAACTGCGGGAAAAGGTTAGGAGCTATTAATAAAAAAAAAAATAGTTAAGTTAGTTAATTTTAATTAGTAATTAGGTATAGAGCGCAATATACTTAGTTTTCCTTAATACGTAATATATAGTACGGCCCCGGCGAATTACTCTATCGGAGGGAAAGCTTTATTTATATTATTTTTATTTTAAAGTATTTTATAGAATAGAATTAAATTAGTAAATCTATAATAAAGAACTAATAATAATTATTAAAGTATTTTAAAAATAGAGATTATAATTATTTAGAACTAAATACGAAGTTATAGTTTATATAAACTATAAGAACTTTATAAACTTTATAATAAATAAGAACTTAAATAAATAATAAGTTAAATAGAGCGAATTCTTATTTAAATATAATTTCTAAATTATTTATTAAAAAGGCTTAGAAAATAGTAAAATAAACGCTTTTAATAAAAAACCTAATTACGAAGTCGCAGTCCTTAAAAAAATATAAGTTATTTTTAAATAAGAAAAGGATCGTAGTTTTATATTAATTATAAAGCTTTTTATAATAGCTAAAAAGATTAATACTAGCCTAATTAAAAAAATAACCCCTAAGCTTATTATAGAAATTTATAGTATATTAGTATATAGTTACTAAGGAGTTATTAAAATATAAAAACGGATTTATTAATATTATAATAAATTTATTATATATACTAAAATTATAAAAGTAATTAAGGACTATATAATTTATAAAAAAAGGAAAAATAGCTTATATAAGCTTTATAATAAGCTATAACTATTATAACTATTAATAAAAATATAGTAATTAATTATATAAGATTTTATTATTAAACTATCAAAGTTTAAAAAACTATTTATTAAAGTATAATACGATAGTATTTTAGTTATAATTAATTAACTTGCTAAGTTCGTCTATTTTATTCCTTATAAAGAATTAAGTACTATAAAAAACCTAGTATATATATTTACTAAGGCTATACTTTCGAACTACGGTTTACTAAAAGAAATTATTTTTAATAGAAATAAGCTATTTATTTTGAAAGTTTAAAAATCTCTAATTTTATAACTTAGTATAAATTATAAACTATCGATATTATTTTATTTATAAACTAATAAATAAATAAAAAGAATTAATTAGATGTTTAAAATTTACTTACGTTATTATATAAACTATAATTAAGATAATTAAGTAGTACTTTTATTAATAACTTAGTTTATATAGTAGTTTTTTTCTAGCTTTATAAGTATAAAAGATCGACCTTAATAAAATTATGCTTTTAAAAAAGATTATATAATACGGTATACTTTTTAATTATATAATATACGTAATATACCCTAAGTACGCGCTTAATATAATATAGTGATTTTAATATAAAAACTACTATATAATTCGGGATAAGTAAGCTACCCTTTACGTAGTAGCGCTAGCTAAAAAGGTCGACAATAGAGGTTAGCTATAATAATTAGCTATAATAATTAGCTATAATAATTAGAGGCAGCCCTTAACTATAAAGGTTCTAAACTTTAATAACGACGTAGAGGTTTTTAAAAAAAAAGCTAAATAAGCTAATATTTACTACTTAGAACTTATAAAAATTCTTTCTATCCTTATTATTTTTAATATTACTTAAAGCTACTCTCTATTTAAACTAAATAAATTTATTAAATAAATTTATTAAATAAACTTATTAATATATAAACTACTACCTTAATAAGAACCTACTCTACTCTTAGTATATAGTTAGTAATTAATAAGCTAAAAATGCTTATTAATAAATCTACCCCTCTTAAACTAAGTACCCTCTTTAACTAGCTCGACGCTATAATTATTATAATTAATATAAATATACTTAAAAAGTAATAAAATACTTTTTAATAATATAGAATCTAGCTAAGTAATAGTACGAACGCTATAAATAGCCGGGCTAATATAGATATTAAGATTTTAAATATTAACGTTAGTTTAAAAATTATACTTTATAAAACTAGAAATCCCTTTAATATAGGTTATATTATAAATATAAAAGAATATATAAGGGGCCCCCTAACCCTTAATAAAAAGGAGTATATAATATAAAATCTAGCTATTTATATAGGCTAGTACTAAGAGGTTTTATATACGTTAGAGTAGGTATAGCTCGCCCTTTAAATAGCTAGAACTTAGAAAATTACGGGGGAAAGTTAAGAGCTATTTTAATTAGTAATTAAGTATAGAGCGTAATATACCTAGTTTTCCTTAATACGTAATATATAATACGGCCCCGGTAGATTACTCCGTCGGGGGGATAACTTAGTTTATATATAATAGTATAGTTAATAAAAATATAAAAAAATCCCTATTTTATTTTAATTACGGATTTTAGCTAATAATATATAAAGAAGTATAATAAGGATTATAAGCTATAAAAGTTATAATAAACATAAATAAACTTAAAAAAATCTATAAATAAGCTTTATTAAACCTCGAGTTCGTATAATAATATATAAAAAAAAACGTAAATAAATTAAAAATTAAAGAACTATTTTTAAAAAAGGAGGATAGTACTTATCTCTTTTATTATAATATTAAAATAAAACGACTAAGTAATAAATTAAATTATAAAAAACTTAAACTTTTTAAAATTATTAAAAAAGTCTTATTAATTAATTATAAATTAAGATTATTAAATATAATACGATACTACTCCGTTTTTTATATTTTATTACTTAAGCTTATATTAAGAAGTTTATATATAAAAAACTATATTATTATTAAACTAAACTAATAAAAATATAAAATTAAATAAATTATTAATTATAAAATAAAAAATAATAAAAAGGAATATTTTATTAAGAGAATTAATAAGGATATATAACGAATTAATACGGATACATAGTTCTTAGGGACGCATAATATTCTCTACCTCTAATTATTCTAAAAATTTATTATTAATATACTTAGATTCTATTATTTTTTTTTAAAGTACCTATCCCTTTTTATAATCTCTTTTATATAATTATATTTTAAGGGAGCTTTATTATAAAACTATAATTAATATATTTTATATTCTCTTTTTTTTAAAACTATACTAATTTATATATTATAAAATAGCTCCTTTAATAACTTACGTACCGAGCTTATATTACTAAGCTTAATTTAATAGCCTAAATAATTAAAACCGTTTTATAAAACGCTAACGCTTTAATAATAATAATATATTATTATCTCCTATTTTAAATAAAAACTATACTAATATTAGCTAGTTTTATAAAGTTAGTAATCCTTATATATATAATAACTTAATAAATAATATTTTACCTAAGCTATTATAAAAAACGTAATTATTATCTTATTATCTATATTAATATATTAGAATAGAACTTACCCTCTATTTTAATTAGAAATTCCTTAATAGAACCGATATTCTCTAGTTTTTTATTATTCCCTAATTTTTATTAATACGTAGTCCCCCCCTTTTTAATAAAAAGTCTTAACGGCTTATATTCTACTTTACGCACCGTTTTTTAAAAAGAATATAAACTACTTAGTATACTACCCTCCCCCGAATATTACTAAAGCCTAGTCCTTCTCCTTTTTATAATAAATCTTAATAACTAACCTAGCCTATAATAAAATAGTTTAATAATATTTTTTAGCTTATTATATAAGTTATTAAGATTAATAAAAAGTTAAAAATTAGCCTTATTTAATAATATAAATAAAGCTATTTATAATAAGAAACGTAAGGTTTTTAAATAAACCTATTACCCTATTTACTTTTATAATAAAACCCTTTTTTAAGTTTATTATTTTTTTAAACCGTAGCTTTTTATTATACTTAAAATAATAAATCGTCCTCCCCTTTTTTAAATAAAACCCTAAACTTACTAATTCTTAGTAACCTAAAACTAATAGTAAATACTTTTTTTAATTAAGTTAATATTTTTACTAAAACTAATAGCTTTAGTATTATAAAATATTATAAATATAAGTAAAATAAAAAGAATATTTAGTATATATTTTAATACGATTAATATAAATATTTTAAACTTAGTCGTAGTATAAGTTTAAAATAACGGAGATCTCGAAAATATAATTATAAATAGAAGTTAATTACTAAGGCTAAGGTTAAGGGATAATAGTTATTATAATAATATAAAGATCCCTAATATAGCTAATATAACTATAAGCCTAGTTTTAAAATATTTATATACTCTTTTTATTATAAACTTACCTAGCTAATTAAAAATATTATTAAAATTATAAATTAATAAATTAGGATTTAGGTACGTAATATATATATTATTATTTAAGAGTAGTTCTTAAAGTCCTTATTTATTTAGTAAGATATTTATAACGCTAGGGCTTATATAAACTAAAAGAAACTAGCTAAATACTTATTAATAGCGGCGTTAATTAAGCTATTTAATAAACGAGAGATCTTATATATTATTAAATAAGTAGTTAATAAGCTTAATTACTTAGTTAGGCTTATTTAGACTTTTTTTTATTATTTTTAAATATAAAAGCGGTTTTTTAAAGTAATTAGTTTTAATAATATATATAATATTAATCACTTTAAGCTCCCTCTTTTTTAAACTACTAAGTAGACCTATTTTAGGTCTATTTATAATATAATATTTAGTTTTATTAATAATAAGAGATTAAAAAGGTTTTAGTTCTTTTTAATAAATATCCGTTAACTAATTAAATAATACTTAATCTACTAGCTTTTTATTATTATTACTAATTATAATAAGTAAATAAAAACTATACTTAATAAGTAGTTTCCTAAAGTCTAATAATAACTCTATATTTATTATATTAACTTTAATATTATATTTAAAATTAAATAGAAGTAGATTAAGGACCCTAGTTATAATAGTAATAGTAATAAGTTTAATAATAATAATTATTAATTAATTACGTAAATAATAGCCGAGCTTAGTAACGAAAACTGCGCTTATATTAATATAATAATAAATTAAACTATTCCGTATACTTATTATGGGGTATTAATTATATAAAAGCTTATTATTTTTATTAAAACGAAGTATATTTTTAAAAAAGCTTAGACTAAGCTTTATAAAAAGTTTAATAATTAATACTTAATTCTCTAATACCTCTACGTAATATACTTACTTTTAAAAGTATAATAAGCCCGTTACTTTATTTAAAAATACTAGAACTTTAATACTTATATTACCTCTAATACTAAGTTAAGTAATAATAATATTAAGGGTTATTTTTTAAATAGTCTTAGTTATTTATATTAGTTTATTAACGTTATATAAAATATAATTAGTAATTAAAAACTACGCTTTTATTAAGCTTATATAGAGGACGAGGTACTTATAGGCTAAGAATATATAAATACTCGCTTTAAATACTTAAGCGAACTTTAAATAATACTTTTTTTAAAATATTTTACTTTAATTAAAATATAAAACTAGCTTATAAAAAAAATAATACTATTTAATAAAAAGCTATTCCTAAACCTCTTTAAATTTTATAATTTAGATTATATTATTTTAATTAAGCTAAGTATTTTATATTACTATAAAATCTACTCTAAAATATTAAATTTAACTATTTTTAATAAATAAAAAGTATACCCTTAGTAACGTCTTTAAAAAACGTTTTCTTTAAATCTATATTACTAAATCCTTAACCCTAAGATTACTATATCCCTCTATAATAAGCTAAAAAATAAAATATAGCCTATTTTATTATAATTAATATTACTTAAAAAAAGTTAGTTAGCTAATTAAGCCCGCACTACTTATAGTAATTAAGGTATAAATAATAAAAAATAAAGTTACTTATTTAAAAATAAAAATAAGTCGACGCTAACTAAGCTTATAAAAAAAATAAATTAGCTAAGTTAAAACTAAATATTAAGCTTATTTTAATAATAAATAAGGAGCTAGTTTAGCGTTCTTAATAAGAGGAGGATAATAAGGAATTATATAAATAAATAGCCAATATAGCCTAATATTTAAAAGAAATAAAGCTAATAAAAAGTAGTTTATAATAATAATAAATTATTATAACTACGTTAAAAAAAGTAGTTAAATAAACGTTATTATAATTTACTTTTTATATATTTTAAATATATAGTAAAAAAAAGCTTTATTTATTTAAAATTTATAAAAACTTAGATTACTAACTTATTTAAAATTTATAAATCTTAAATAAGTAATATAATAGTTTTAAATAAGTACGTAAGTTATAATAATATTCTTATTTTTAAAAATCTTAAACTAGAGCTTAAGTTAGAGAGGATAATAAGAATAGTTATATTAATATAATTACTCTTATTATTTTTATAAGGAGGTACTATTTTTTTAAACTAATTAGAAATAGAGAAAGTTATATATCCCTAAGAGCTATATATTTATATTAATTCGTTATACGTCCCTATTAATTCCCTTTATTAAATAAAAAAATTATAAATATAAAAAAAATATATAAGAACTTATTACGAACTTTTAGAACTCTTAATAACTTTTTAAAAAGTATTAAAATTAAAATTAAATTTAAAACTCCTAGCTATTATAGCGTCCTAATTAATAATTTTAAAAATATTATTAGCTTATATTTTACGAGTTATTAAGGAAGTATTTTTAAAACCCTTAAGAAACTCCTTTAATATAATCCGACTCTTTTTAAATACTATTTATTTTTAAAAATAAAAACGTTTTAGCTTAAATAATAACTTATTTAACTTAGTTTAAGTTTATTAATAAGTTTTAGCCTTTTTTATAACTCCGTAGCTCTTTTTTAAAACTATAACTCTTTTACTTCTTTTTTATAATTAAAATAATTAAACTCCGTTATTAACTAACTAACTATATTTAATTAACTAAGACTTAATAAATAAAAATATAATACTTATAAATATAAATAATATTAATAAAAGTATTATATAAAATACTTAAATAATAGTATATTCTATAAACCTCGGAATTAAAAAGAACTAAATAACGGATCTTTTATAAATAATAATTTAAATAAAGTATTATTTTTATACCCTTGCTAAAAAAACGAATAATATATAATAATTTATAATAAGACGTAGCTATTAAAAATTTCGATTCTTTAATTTAACTTAATATCGTATTAATATATTTTAAAAAAATACTTAATAATTCCCTAATTTAGGAATAAATAACCTACTTATAAACTTTAAAAACTAGATTTTTAAAAAAAGAAGCTAATATTACGACTTAATATATATAATAAGGCTAGGGCCTTATTTTATAAAACCTATAATAATTATTATATTATATATATAAAAATACGGATTTAAAATAACTCTTTTTAAAATAAAAAAACTATAAATAAGTTACGTAACTACGATTATATAATAAAATAAAGAACGAATATTTATAAATATATAAAACGAATAATTATAAATAAATAGGACGAATAACCGTTCGGTAAATAATTAAATAATAATAAATAAGAATATTATAAAGGATATATTTAAAAACGAGACTTATATATAATATAAACTTAAACTAGGCTTAAAAATAGACTTTTTATAGTTTTTTTAATAATTAACTTAGTATTAAATCTTATAATTATTTTTAACTATTTTTATTAAAAACCCCTTTTAATAAGACTATAATTAATTACTAAAGCTTTATTTATTTTATAACTTATAAATATAGTTTTAAAAAAGCTATTTATAACTATAATACTATTTATTTAGTACTCGTAGCCTTAACTTTTATTAATATACTTACTACGATAAGCTAGCTATAATATACGATATACTTAACTTACCTTATTTTATATTAGTTATAATAATTAAAAAGCTTTAGGGGTACTTACCTCTTTAATAATACTAGCCTAGTTAACGGTTAGGGTACTTAAATAACCTTATAAAGCTTAGAACCTAGCGCCGTAATTAGTTAAATAGAGTATATATTATAATTAGTTAGTATTTAAATATAATAATAATAAATTAGCCTCGTAGAGTATATAATTAATAATAATACTAAATAAAAATTAAATAATAAAAATTAAAAAAAGTATAGTAATTAGTAATAAAAAAAACGTAATAAATAATTTTAAGCTCTTTTAGTTTTAATAATATTAATAAAACTATAGTTTTAATAACTTAGTTAGCTAATTAGAGGCCGTAGTTAAAAAAGTTTTAATTAAAATTAATAAAAATTAAGATTTATTAAAATCTCTCGATTATTATAATAAAAACTAAAATAATTTTCGAATTATATAAGTTTATATAAGCTAGTTTTATATAATATTAATAATAAAAAGTTAGAATTAATTACTTATTATAGTTAGCTAAGATAATTGCGATTATCTTATTAGTTAGAAAAAGTAGAACACAGCCCGCCTAGCTAACTAACACAGCCCCCCTAGCAGAACTTATTTATAATATAGCGTAGCACATTAGTTTAAAATACGCGAGGGGGAAAGCCTTCCAAGTTCTTCTTCAAGAATGGGATCAATTCACAGCGGCCTAAAGATATGAAAAGCGCCCTTCGTAATTGACTTCGCCCATCTCAATATCCTCATAAGAAGCAGAATCACCAACCGCCAAGGTTAAATTCTGGTTCTTATCCGCCATAACTTTAACAATCAAATTCCAATCCTTCGCATTCTTTAGGCCTGTGCCAGCTCCTTTGAACTTCTTAGCTGAGGGCGGCTGGGATACTAAGGCAAGAACAATCAGATCCTGAAGGTCTGACCACGGGATAATACTCAGTACCCTAACACGTGGCTTTTCCCCTTCCACAATAAAGAAGGACGCCAAATGTCGCGTCCCAATGATTGCGGCATAGATCCCAATGACTCCTATATAGATATACATCGTTGATAAGGCAAAGTTCAAGGTGGGCCGTGAATGGCCAGATCCGTATCCGTATCTGTCCATGGTAAATTGAATGGCTGAGTATGCGTTGTCTGGGTTGACAAGCTGGTTCTTGCGGGTATCGTTGAAGTGGGTCTCATTGAAATAATTGAATTCAGTATGTGCAATGCTTCGACCGTATTGTTTGCTCAAATTCCGCAAGGTCAAACCTTTGCCTGGGATTGTAGTCTTTAAGTAAGTGAAATAGGCGGAGGAAGTTCGCGAAAGAGCTTCCGTCAAATAAACACCAAACACTTTCGACAGGAAAAGATTGGTTGCAAGCTTGTCGTTTGTATCAACCGGAGATACGCATGGCAGGCCATTACTTTTGGGAGACTCGCAAGTCTCTGTGAAAAGCTTAGTTATTCGACCGAGTGCTGAATAGTGGTGGCTGGAAGCATCTTCATCGTCGTTCATAACGAAACTCGGGACCAGATAATCAAGTGAGGTTCGTTTGAATGTTATTGGTAGAGCTTTATGTGATGGGTCTTGGAAGAAATCCTTCGGGTTGAAGGTGCCGCTGGATACTTGATCGCTGAAACTGGAGTCCAGAATATCGCTGGCTTTTGGGTCGAATGTAAAGCTGGACTGTACCCAGCTGGTCATAAATCCGCAAGCGTACAACAAAACCGCGCCATCTTCTGGGAGTTGCCCAACAAGTAGCAGGATGGAAGACTGTTCCCCAACAGTGCTGAACTTATTGGAGACGGGACGGTCATCCCATGCCTCATCATCAAGCCAAGGCATGTTTTCCTTGGTTGCGAAATGAGATTTCCCATGAAACGACAGACAGTTCTCGTCGCCGAAGCAGTTGAATGATTTGATTGGTAGTTCCAAGTCTTTCGGGCCAAGATCGGCACCTTTGTACTTCTTGAAGGTCCGACATTTTGACTGCACAAATGGCTGGAAGATCGTACGCTCTTTCTGCTGGTATGAGGTCTTAATCCGGTAAGATTTCCCTCCGAGCGTTTTGACCATCTCAGAGGAAGCCATGTAGTCCGAAAAAAGCCCGAGACTGACCATGAGGAAATGCGGCGGCGTGGTACTGAGTATAATAGAGGTATTTGCGTCCACCAGGCTCGGAGAGCTCGAATCGGAAGAGTTTACGAATACTAGCTCGCGACGCAACTCCGTTGGAGGATAATGGAAGATTGGACTGTCACCCAAGTCACCCGCACGAAAACTCTGGGCCCACGACCAAATGTCGCTAAACCCAGCGGCTGGGCATCCGTAAACATAAAAGCCTGCAAAGCTCTTACAGGCCGCTTTGCCAAGAAGTGGACTTGCGCCTTCCTGTAGAAAAGAGGGTGTAACAGATTCTGCATCTAAAGCGTAAAATAACAATGGCTTGATTTTCTGAAAGTCTGTTGCCTGATCGAGGGAATACCATCCTAGAGTAGGAACGAGTAGTACCGCTGATGCTGGGCCGATAATGGTGGATATTAGCGTCGCGAAGACAACGAATCCAGCGAGGAGGAACTCCCAGGGTTTTCTGGTGTTCAAGCCTTGGCGCCAGAATGCAGAGGTACCCAAATAAGTGAGGTCGCCAACGCGGTATCCGCCGGTAAGAAACCCAAGTCGAACCCCATCAAGGATAAGGCTTCTTCGAAACATAGCTAATACAATGGATGAAAGTGACGCAATGATTAAAAGCTCATGAATCTTTGCCGGCAGTTGGAGAAGGTTGTTGATGGCGTCAGCGTCAATCGTGATATTGCTGTTTCCAACATGCAAACTGACGCCTTCTTCTGAGTACCAGTATCGGTCTTGCTGACTAATAATGAGAACCGCAATGGTCGAGGCAAGAGCAGGAAAATGAATGGCCCATCCCGTAAAGAATCTCAACCAGCTTCTACGGGTGATGTGCTTGCCTTGACCCCCATATGCAGGAAAGGTTTTTCTGTTTCTCGGAGGCTCTTTCGAAGACGCTCTTAGTGGGCTGTGGTCGCGATGTGCCGGAGACGGTGATCGCGAGTAGGTTCTAGACGGCACCGATGTAGTATTTGGCAGTGGTTCTGTCGGTGAGAGTGTATTTATAGCCCCATGGGGCTGCGAAGGACCATTGACTGGCTGCATGGCTGCTACATGTAACGAGGAGAGAAACCGTATTTCGACTGCAACACTAAGAAGAGAGACAGACTGAGTAGCTTGTGCAAAGGCTTAAATAAAGTTTCAGCGACGGGAGGAGTGTTCATTCATATCAATTTAACTACCGCACCACTTGAACACTGACAAAGTGAGCAAAAGCGCATGTGCATCTCCATGATTCGTTGCCATGCACGATCATGTGGGCAATGCAGCAGCTTAACGACGCCCCAATGTGCGCGCCTTAGTAGTACGGTTATTCGATGCAACGTGAAGCTGCAGTATTCGAATGAGCACGCGTATTGCTCTTCCATGTTATTGGCCAACCGCAATCTTCGGTATCTCGTAAGAGAAACATTAGAGCGACTCATTTTCTGAGGCTTCTTCGTGATGGACATTTGGGCGCATATTGTCTCGAGGCTGGGCTCGCAGTGGCTTCCGGGACTGCAGATGCCTCAAGCCCTGTCGACCCAATGAAATGTGCATAGGCTGACCACCAGCCGATAGATGTAAGCTGTATTGGAAGCTGCATGACGAACCAATTGTCGCTGCAGCTGCCCCCGAACGACAATTGACAGGCCAGCCATTTGAGAGCATTGAAGGGCTCTCTTGTCTCATGTAACACCTACATGATCGTGCAATCACAAAATGCTGATAAGTAGAATACTACATTGTCTCGACATGCATATGCTCGAACTGTTTGGGCCCAAGTGTTTCTGGAAGGTTCGAAACCAATGAAAGACCATGGACTTCATTTCAGTCTAGCGGAGTGACCGAACATAGACGTACTAACTTCGGGGAAATGAGACAACAACATCGGTCTAGACAAAAGTGGCCTTGGAAGAAGAACATGTTGGGCTAATACGATAAGGAGTCTAAGGACGCAGCCTGGTGTGATTTTCTCCCAAGCTTGGCGATTTGAGCTTCTTTTGGGACCAATGAAGTACACATGAGAGATGACTGCTGTCACTTATGTATCTGATTGGATATCAACATGCTGTAAACGGCAGGCTGCGCCGGGTGAGGCAAGACCGGGTTGACATGCTCTCATTTACTCTCTTTTGGTGAACAAGTCCAAAACAAGCCTGAACCTGGGCCTAAACATAATTCTTCGTGTTTGAGGATCCGATTTCGGCTAGGTTCTGCAGGAACAAGAAGAAATAAATGGTCGTTGACAGGACTGTAGAGACCCAAACCAAAAAGAAGGCTGGCTGTGGTCGAGGAGATTGATTTGGAATCTGCATCACTTCATCATAAATCCCTCGACCACGCCCACACTAGTTGGTGAAGAAAACCGAGGAAAGGACACACGGTGACCTTCCCAACCTCCCATCTGTGAGGGAAGCTACACAGAAAATCTTTCAACGTAAACCTTGCAAGCCTGCGATAGTCACTATCATCCTAGCTAAGGTGGCGTCGAATGATTGTAGCGACTGGGCCGGGCGATATTAGGAAGCACTACCTCATACATAAGCCTGACGCAATTATCAAGTCTAGTACAACGTTTGAATATGAGCCGTGTCCGTTGAGCTTTGACGGTCGAGAGCTCGTAAGACTCACAGGATGTCATCAACATCCTAGCTGGCACAGCTCCATCGAGAGCTGCTCTCCACTGATGTCGGGCGTTCAAAACGGGTTGATCACAGAGAATCACAACATCTGAGTCAGATGGCATCCTCATTCCCTTCTAGACTCTAGAAGCAAATTGGTGTTTGTATTGATGGAGCTCCTGAGAAAAGACTCCCCAGAGCAGTAAGTCTATAGTCGCTGAGTAGCGATTGCGAAGTCGTATTCAACTCGGTATTCTTCGCGCCCAACGAGACCATGAACGCCGTGCTATGCAATTGATTGAAATCAGAGGGTGCCGTCAACATGTTTGCAAGCTCAACTCCGTGAGACTACCAGTCCACTGCCCAGCCATTCTCCTCGAGGAACTCTTCACAGGCTTGTCTCAGGCCAAGATTAGGCCTCAACTCGGATGGCAGTAGGGGCTCGCGTGTGAGGGGATCGCTGGGGTGACGACGGAGATGCTCCATGATGGATGCCCTCTCGTAAGACTTTCCCGTCTTCGTCTAAAAGCGTGTTAGTAGGCAGCAAGCAAGCAGCAAGTTGACTGACTCACCAGTACAGGATCGACCATAATGCCGAAGCTGATGTCATCGATGGCCCACTCCGGAACCTCACGTCTCTTCTCCTCGGCAGAGCGACTCTTCTCAAAGGTGCTTCTCAGTATCTCGATCTTTTGCTCCCATTCAGCCTCAATCTCTCTCTTTTCCCCGTCGTCCATTGCGTTCGTAAGGGCTTGTTCACGTTCTTTCTCCATCAGCTCAATGACTTCGTTTTCGAGGTGTCGTGCTTCCCGTGTTCGCCGCTTCTCCATCCAATCCCATCTATCCTTCTTCGCGCGCAACACTTGAGCGGTGATGGCCGCCAGTGACTTATCGCCGGTCTGTACGCAAAGCTGGTGGGCCTTTTGTGCATTCGTGAGGGCCGAATCGTAGTCCTTGAGGGCGAGCTGGGCTTGGGAGAGGTAGTAGTGGGCCTTGAGGTTGTCGGTTGTAAGTCCGAGACACGATTCACAGTCGGACACAACCGAATCCCATATCTCGAGCTTGAGGCGTGCCATTGCGCGGTTGGTGTATAGAGCGGGGTTCTTCGGGTCGGCAATGATGCTATAATAGACCAAGAATTAGCTTCTCAGTCGATATGATTGCCATGTCTAGCTGTCTGGAATACATAGCAGGTGGATCAGGCTGGGGCTGGCTCTGGATTCGTTAGGTGAAGCTTACGCCTTGGAATACAGGGCCTCCGCGCCAGCATAGTCGCCCTGCTGGAAGTGGCGATTGCCTTCTTCCTTGAGCTGTATTGACCTCGACATTATGCTGTTGTTCCCTTTGCAATGTGTAGTTGTGGTTCGGAGGGTACAGTCCCAGTCCAATATTGAAGGATTGGAACTAGTAAGCGGAGGAGACGGTTCAGCGGCGGGCTGGAAGAACAGGTATTCAGTCGTATTATAAAGATGCAGAGTAGACGCCGAATGCAACGGTGCAACCTTGGCGAGTCTCGCCGTCCAAGTAGAAATCAGCCCAAGAGATATCTGTCGAGGCTCAGAACACCGAGACAGAAGGCTGCGCAGAAGCCAAGGAGTGTGATCTTCAATGCGTACTGAGACGTACGGACTGCAGTCGGGGAAATTGGTTCGGTGATGAGGAGACAGGTATTCGGCTCGGTGAATGGTGTGGAGGAGAAGCCGTTGGGCACACCGGCTGCTGCAGCTCAGCCTCGGGGTGTCAATATGGTGTGCCAGTCGAAGATTCACTACCCTCCGACGTTGCTGCTGCTGCTGCAGTACTTGGTGGCTGCTGTCACCACTCCAGTGGACGTTGAACGCGGGACCCCCGCCAACCCGCGCCGATGGGTTGGACGTGGATTCCAAGGGTCGCTTTCTCCGCCGACCCCACCTTCGCCCGGGACTTGCGGCTGCCATTAATTACCTTCTCGAATCTTCCGCTTAGAAATGGGTGGCTGAGCCTCGGCCGATGCTCGTCCGACCACGTGATGTGGCTTAACACTGACTTCGACGGCCGGAAGTGGGTATGCCCCTCCACGGGTGCGGAACGGATTTCGGGAATCTTCAATCGGGACATGAGTAAACATTTCTTGCTTCTACCTATCGAGACACCATTGATGTTTCAACCTCTATCAGTCCCAAATCCCCACATATTTTCTATTCAGAGGCGCATCAACCTAATATCTCCTGTGCGCAACGTGATTAAGTGCAAAAAGCCTATGGGCTGGAGGTACGAAGCCCAAGTTTGAGACGCACAACCTCAAGTTCCCTGGCAGCCATTCCTGCCTTACTTTAGGTATTCACTAGTGCCAAACAATCACCTTGTAGGCTTCCATTACATTAAGTACCTCAAAGGCTCTCAGGCATCAAACTCAAGGTGAAGTGGCCAACGGAAAGAACCTAGTCCCTCCTTAACGCTCTTGATCTCCCCATCTTTGATGAATAACATGAAGAACAGCCACAGTCCTCTGGCAATTGTCACAGCAGCAACAACAATAGCTATCACTTGGCCGGTAGACACTGTTTGGCCGTCTTTCTGTTCGAATATCTTATTCGGGCCTCCAATCGTGATTTCCGCGGCGGCCATAGAAGCAACCATCAAGACCCCATAGACGATGTACATGAGCGATATGGTCGTGGGGTACGGGTCGAACTTCATGTCCTCTGAGTGTGCTCCAAGCCAACGTCGTATCTTTCCACTCCAATGTCGGCCCTGGGCATCGCGTCTGCCCAATGATGGATGAGTTATACCTTCCAGAGGATCATCACTCTTCTCGGCTTCGTGAAAAATTTGCGTATTAATCAGCGCATGGAAGCTGCTTTGGATGTAGACGACGAGTCGGAAGCTGTAGTACAGCCAGAAAGCCGTCGCATCATATCTGTACATCGTCTCGCTCTTCTCGTAAGGAAAGTTCCGGAGTCTGCCCCACCAGAAAACCTGAAGGAGTTCGCATTTGTTGGCGTCCAAGCCTAGTTCTTCGTCGCTTTGATGATGGGTGTATTTCTCGACTAGGATTGGTATGAGCACCATGCTCACCGTTTGGCAGAAGATTACAATGACGACTTGCCACCTGGCTGCGAGAGTTTGTTTGGTGATGAGAAGGATCGACAGTGCACTGTTTTGAGAATCGAGAATCATGGCGCCTAGGATCGCACTTGCGGAGGTGAGAATTTTCCGGCCCTTTGCATCTCCTTCATCTCCTTTGAATTGTACCAGTTGAACAATAAGTGCCACAGCCAAGGAAAAGTGTGTGATGATGAGACCAGCACCGATTTCCTTAGCACCTGTGACCTTGGAGTGAAACGTTCCAGCCAAGGCAATGAAGAAGACGACGAACTCTTGCGCCCAAATAGCGATGCGTATGCCGTACCCTCCTATGTCTGCATCAATCTCAGCTAAAGCATTGCTGTTGCAGGAGGTGTTTGCCGTATTGTTGGCGAACACATCTCCGTTTATATCCTTGTGAATTTGAAAGATGTTCGGGATCAATATGAGCCCCAAAGTGCCGATGAATACCGGCGCGATCAAATACTGGAAGAGAACAAGCCATTTCTGGGTCATCTTCTTAGGAAAGAAGAGATGTAAAAAGGATTCTGTGACGAAATAGACGGTTTGGAAGGCGAGAAATATAGCCAGAATGGCCACTGTACCTGGCGTTGCGATACGCATCGTGTCGGTAGTGCTTAGAAGCAAGTATGCAGAGTTGTCGTACTTCAGTTTTAAATGTCCACTTTCCCAGAAATCTCGGCCACTGGAGTTTGATAAATATCTGAGGGAAATTACCCCCAAATTGCGGCTTAGAGCCTTACCGCAAAGCGCGAGGGAGGATTTGGAGAGATGCAGCTGACACACCCTCACGGATGGTCAACCCTACTTTTGGCAGTTGTAAAGTGAGACTTGTGTAAGGCAGACCAATTGGACCATTTGCCACAATTCAGAAGGATACACCGGTGAGACAAAAGTGCCACCCTGAGGACAGGTTTTGTTGTCTGGGTGTAGCCTCACAAGACTCATGCCACTGCCTCACTCTCCGTCTGCCTGCGTGGCATCGGGAATTGCCAAAACTCGGCTGCTTGATTTTCATTCTTAAAAGGCCCCTGTTGAAAATTTAGAAAACCTAGCTCATGGTAAACACAAGAATAATACAAATAGAGAAGTGATCTCAATAGCTTTGAATGTCCTTAGAAGTTAGACTGTGACAAAGACCGATGACAATCGAGCCCTTCATTAAGTTGAAGAAAGTAGAAGACTGCAAGGCTAAAGTGCGTTGGAGCTCTAGATGATACTTTATCTTAGACTGTCATATCGTCTTTGTCCTTACCAAAGTCTTGCATTGACCGTCCATTCTAGATAAACACTTAGGGAATAAGAGCTTTGATAGTCTGTCTTATGGAACTTTCGCATCTGCTAGCAAAGTAGTCCGATCTTCAGCACTAAAGTTCCATTTTTTATATGACACAACCTAATCACTCAGTTGAAGCCAAAGGTACTGCCACACCATTGAATCCCTTCGAATTTGAATGTATGAGTTGCTTTGAGGCTAGGCTCAAACTCTTAATGAGTTGTGATGACTACTGACCCCCGATTGACTATATCTATTAGTCCTCCTGGTTGGCAACACTGCATAGCACCAACATAGGCTAAGCTCTACACTTGACGACTTATTGTGATCTGACAAATGAGGCTGGCATGGGTGATGTGGACCAACGACCTCACAGCTATCATCTGCCACACTGAATACTGGTGCTTGAGTAGGCGATTGTCTTGGAGTAGTATCCCGGGGTCTCTTGCCTTTTGTACGGAATTCAACTCGCAGGTTGGTCAGATAACTTCTCTTCCTGAGAGTTTAGTCTACCAAAAGTGCTTGACTCCCCGACCTCGACCGCTCCGGGTCGGATTATAGAATTATGTTGCAATCGACAGCATTGTCCAATGGGCAATATCACAACGGCTGAAATTAAAGCCTGTCTGGGCTCCGCCACCCATACTAGCTCAGCAAAGGCGGCAGAGTCACGGCAAATCGTTCTCGGAGATTCCTGATTCAGCTGATGTGATCTGTCATGGCGCTGAGCTGTCATGGCCCCAAAGAACCCGGTCCCCGAACAAGGCTATGTCTTGACTTTCTAGAGTTGGACCCCTAGATTTTGCCTACGAGATCGAGTCCCTGCATCCTGTGGGATAAACGCCTTGTACTAGCCTTCTATGGACTCGTCTACCTGTCAAAATCTTTCTAGTTGCCCACCGGGCCATTGACAGCTGCATGGCCGTAGGGCCGTCCCGCCCGGGTCCCACATCCGTGATTACAGCCGATGGGATATCTCGACCCTGCATAGGAAGAATGATATATCACTTTGACAGCGAGACGTCTCTCGTTTAATACCGCTCTATGGCGTTCATAGACACTCTTTCATCTCCCCCAAGAGTCAAAGACCTTCCAGTCTTTGTCATTTCCATAGGCAATGGTGTATTTCTGACTGTCTCCCGTACTGACCTGCCTCTTCTATCGCATCAATTTGAGCGAGAATTTGCTAGCCGAGTCGTACGATGGGACGAATGTGATGATGTCGGCAAGTGGCTTCGTCTTGGCGACCTCTCGATTCTCATCAGGCAGTTGGCGTGGGCGACACTCAGATTGGTGTGTCAAGATCGTGAGGAGGGCCTATCAAGCCTCATGTTCAGGACGAGTGAGCCCAGCAACAACACGAGTCATTGTTACGGAGACCTGTACTCTGATGCTTCGTGGATTCTGTGTGGTCATTGATCGCGTAACCTCATGGAGAGCTAGACCAAGCCTCACGCTGCCTTCGAGAAACCTATAAAGACAGACTCTTTCCACCCTCAGTCGAGAAATTCCAGACACCAACACACCATCCTCTCATCTTACAATCAAAACACCATTCAACAACCAAAAGCCAACTCTCCAACCAAGGAACCCCCTTACCAACCATCAGTAAGCGGCTTTACTCTCATCATCCAAGAGTCAGAACAGCTAACTCGATCACAGAAATGAAGACTTCCGCCATCATCGCCGTCGCCGCCCAGGCCGCCGCCGTCTTTGCCAACTGCAGCGTCCAGGTCCTCGACGCCAACAACTTCCAGATCGGCACCGCCTGCATCCCCAAGGGTGGCCAGGGCTCCGTCCGCTACAACGGCGGCAACTACTTCATCACCGCCACCTCCAGCTGCGGCCTTGGCTTCATCAGCACTCAGACCCACCCCGCTGGCTGGCAGCTCAAGCTTCTCGGCAACTGCTAAGTTGCATATACCGAGTTATACAACAGGTAGTGCCGGGCTGTGCCTTGGGGACGAATTTGGCACAGCTTTGATGGCTAAGGGATAAGCCAACGATTGGCGAGAAAAGGGGGAGGTTCAACAGAGAGTGGCAATACGAAGGATAGATAGTCCTTACTTGGGTAGACTACGACTCTCAATGCTCATCGAATTACCTGCCAGTATCTGCTTCTTCTTCCTTGAACACAAGTGAACATGTGTGGGTGAATGTGGGTCGAAAACCAACATCATTGGGGGTATTAAAAGTGAAACAGTGTCCTGACCGTTCTACGTGCTATGCATGGAGGACAATGTGACCATATGAGTACTGAAGTAGGCTCAGTCGGTTTGACATCCACCAGTACGACTTGAAGAACTACATGCCATAATTCCTCTTTTGAAGGTATCTTGCTGCTCCTGATATGCCAAGGACTCAACATGTCAACGCTTCTTCTTTGCGTCTCTGGATTTAGTGCAGTTGTCTAACAAATCCCTTCCCAATTTCATATTACCTAGTTTCTTGATAAATCGACTTCGCGTTCAAGCGAGGTAACATGTACCTTGGATTTTGCCGACCCTGGGCGAGAAGTCATATTCAGGAGCTCTGAGATGTTCACTATGTCTGAAACTATTCCTTTTGTTGTGTATCAAATTAAGGTAGATATCACGAAACGGCAAAAGTTAGTTGATTGGGACAATTGTTTCCATATTTTTTCTACCATTCGATTCTATTACATCCTTCATTCCTAGAGAATTTCGAACAAGAGAGAAAAGAAATTGAAAACAGAGCGAATAAATTCAGAGAACAGCTGAGAATGGATGTACTGTCATTGTTCCTCAATTCCTTGATGGGTTATCGTCTTGCGAGGTTGGCATGTAGTCATTGGCTGGGGTCAGACCCCCCGAGAGTTGAAACCTCTGACATCTACACCATTCTTCAGGCGTTCTTCCTAGTGTTGACTTGATTTATTGAGAGTAGCCTCAAGCTGTGCGAATGAATCATTTCTCTAGACTAAGTCTTCTTCCGGTATCTTATTTGCCATGCCACCAGCCGTAGATCTTTGAGGTGTTGTCACGTATTTTAAAGTGCCGGGAGGTGGCTTAGTGTGTGGCTTGCATCCCGCCTGAACAACCCCGCAAAACCCCGCAAGTTTCCAAAGCATTTGAAGATGGATATCGCTAGATAAGATGGGTTCGAAAGAAACCTGGAGAGACACCGGACGAGACGCTCCAAGAGGGGAAGTCCCAGTAGGCCGGCGCTGACTCGGTCAAGAGAGGGGTTGGACGGAAACCCATCGGGCTTGGTATGACGGGAAGGATGGCAAAGGAAGTGCAAGATGGGGGACGGTCGTACGATCGTGCTCACAATAAGGATTCTGTTTGCTGACATCGGGACCAACCGCCGCCTGAGATGGAATGGGTCTGAATATGGAAAATAGGCGACGAACGGCTGCAAGCTGAAGCTGAATCGAGGGATAAAGTCGAGACCGACAAGGTCAGAGTAGGTGGGTGTTACAACAGGTCGGCGACTTCAGATGAGAAGACCAATGAAACCCTCCTCCCAAGGCGACGGGCCTCTTTTGGTTGTAAGGTTACAGTTTTGCTTCTGTTGCTGCGAACAAGAGAGTGCATCTTCACTCTGACGTCGCCTTGATGCTACAGTACCTGATATTCCGTACCAAAACTTGACCCAAGGGGCCAAGGATAGCGGGGGGTTACGCCTCGTGACGCTTGGCGAAAGAGGTTACACCAGGCGCTGCGGTAGGAGAAAGGCTTTGCAGGTGTGCCGACTACGGATACGTTATAAGGACCTCAAGGTGAGAGGGAGCGCACCGTCCAAGACTAGGTAGCAGCGTCAAGGATTCCCGGAGCAAACATAGCGCGCCGCAAGCGATCTGTCATTCATGTTGACAAGCTGAGCTATTTCGGGGCGAGCGAACGGGTTCCTAAGGGGCACCCGATTAACCGAGTACCAATGTGTGCCAACCAAGGAGACCAGGCGCGAAGTGCAGAAATGTGGCTGCACGTGGAAATCCTGCGCAGCTGTGCCGCTGCGTAGTCTGCGTCTCTCCTGGCGTTTCGGTTCCAGATCTGCGTGACGCTGGTGAGCCTTACCCAGGCCCCAGCGAATAGGACGGGGTCTGAATCAAACGGGCTTTGAATTATCAGATCATGTACAAACAGCAAGGAGCAGGCACCGAAGCATCTAAGTTCATGGTTTGTGATTTGTGTGGGGATAGCCTTTCGACAAGAAAAACTAACGGTTTTGGAGGGAAAGGAATCAGGCTTTCGAGTGACAGATAGCGCCGGATGCTTTCGAGAAGCAAGCTTCCCATAGGTACCTAGATCCGGGGTGATGCTACCCAAGACGACCAAGACGCCAAGTTTGTCCAGTCAACAAAGTACTTCGTACGGATATGTCACGGCATATTTCGGATAGAAGAAGATTGGGGATGCAGACAGACCCGAGGACTGAGAGAAATGACTGACGGATGGAAAGAGGTGAAGATGATTGACCTCGGATAAGATAAGATAAGCGGCGGATGTGAGTGGACGAAGGAAACGCCGGCCCTCCAGGAGGTCTTCATTCCTGCCCCGACTTTTCCAAGAAGCCGAGACCCCACAAGGTCGGCGTTGGTCGGTACATGTGGATACGTAACTCTCTTCCCCTCACGCCGGGACAGGACCCGAGGGGAAAAGTCTCGAGACTCTGTAACCAAGTCTCTAAATGGACCTATGGCGCGCCGGTAATTACTCACAAGTGGACCCAAGCCCGTGCACGCCAGTCGGTCGCAAGGTCCAACTTCCGGATTCCGGGATTGGCCGAACGGGGGAAAGGGCAGTCCTGCGGCTCGACCTTACTATGTTTGTAGAGAATACAGACTCTAAGACTCGAGTGCGTGAGTGTTCCCCCCCTTCACTCATGTGCCTCTCATCTGCCATCACCATTCCTTTTCCAGCCGACCCTTCCACTCGCCCCCTGGCTCTCCCACCCCTCCCACCCACATCCAGTTTGGCGGGCCACAAGTGAGTCGACGTCAGGATTTATCTCACACAAACCTGCATCCGATGCCTACCGGTACTCGACCACCCTCCCCCACTGCGACTTGACTCGACAGCCAGAGCCAGAGACCAGGGCACACGCGAAGCACTCCGACGCACGCCGCTTTCTTCCCGACATACAGCACCATCCCGCAGCGAAGACTCAGTCAGCCAACTTCCCCATCCCGCCCGTATCGCGCCTGTGCTGCAAGCCTGCACCTCTACGCCGATCACTCATCCGAGTCCACCCCAAGGCGCTTCCGCGATCGAAATACCGCGCGCAGGATCGAGACTGCCTCTTCACCCCGCCAAACACCATATATCACCCACGATAACGACCCTTCTGTTACCGTCACCCCTCGTTTCTCTCAGCGACGTTTCTACATACACACTGACGAGCCCACAAACAACGGAATCCCGATTTTGAGTGCCCCTCTCTCCTCGCTGCGGCTCCTCATTTCTCTTCCCCGTACGAAACCGTGTTGCAGCGCAAGCTTGGACGTCTTGCCCCAGGATCGACCCGGCTCGGGCACGGATGACAGCATAAACCCCAGCAACCTAGAGGGATATCATACCGGAGAATAGGGGTCCCCAACCGAAGCGTTTGCTTTTTTACCCTTTCGTCGGCGGAACCTCCTCGTTACGTCTTACGTCAAAACACGGCAATCTCCTCACTCTTCTGCAACGACACACGCACGACCGGGTGCGGCTTCGATCTGCATACTACGAATACAACCACAGTACGGCAAAGGCGACCGATGACATCGCGGTCCGACGCATCCACGATGCCTTCTCAACGACCTTTCTTCCTCTCCACCTTCTTCAACTCCTTTAGACAACAGTCTCCTTCGGCGACGGCGCTATCATCGCAGCAACCGAATAAGCATACCACGCAAACATCATCGTCATCGTACACCACACAGTCCGCTGCTTCAGCGCCACGAGCCATTTCCTCGAATACATCAACAAGTAGCGGCGGAAACAACGCCAACGCCAACTCGACGACCCGTTCGACATCGGGAGTCGTGAACCAATACCCACTTCACTCCCCGCGGGGTGGCATCCCCATTCCCGGTAGCGCCAACCGACGGCGCGGAAGCGACAGCAGCAGTGAAGGATTCCGCGATGTATTAGGTGCCGATAAATGGTACATCGGAGGGCGGACCGCTGGCGGCGAGGAAAAGTTCTTCAAGCTGGGCGTTGTCAGGAGGGTGCGCAGTAACGACGGCCTGAGTTTGGATCGACTGAGTTTATAGAAGTGAAGGACGGCGGCGACGGCGACGATGATGACGACGGATGACGGCGAAACTGGTGATCCTAAGAATGATCAGACATGACGAAGGCTTTTAAACATGAAATGGGTATATAGGCGGAACTTGGGAAATCGGCATCATCAATGAGCCCCCTTTAACGATACATCGATGGGAACATATCGAACAAATCCTCAGAATCATGAGGCCACTGGCGTTTTGGAAGGATTATGATTTTTCTTTTCTGAAACAAATAGCAACCTGAAAAAGGCTTAGAGCACACGTGAGAGTGCAAGAGAAAAGCATCAAGTTGAGCAAAACAAATGGACAGGCCACTTTCTACATTCCTTCTACCTCGGTTCTTGTCCACAAATCTGTATCGACTAGCCTCGAGGAGGTGATTCTTTTACGCAGGGCAGTGATCCATCTACCACATGAACCGCTGCATCCGACCATTTTCCAATACCCTGCCATCCTCTGCCCTCCATAGGTATGGCTTGCCGAGGAATATGTACATGGTGATCAAGTTGACAAGCACGAACCAGAGAGTCTCTAGCACAAGTCGCACATCAAACTTCTTTCCGAACCTGACCAACGAGCCCAGGATGGGCAACTTCTCGGCCTTTGAGAGAACCGGATGTGTGGCAGCGTGGTCGTGGAGTCTCCACGCCGGGACGAGAATGCGCCAGAAGACCCAGGGGAGGATGAAGTAGCGCGGCTCGACGAGGGGCGCCGTCATTAGCGAGAGGGTGGTCGCGAGGAGGAGGAGGATTGCGGTCGATGAGGCGGTGGGCTCTGTGGTGTAGGATGTCTGGTCTGCGAGGGTGATGATGGCGTAGGGGTTGTGGCGGTCCTTGGGTTCTTTACCTTCTGCGTCTGTGACGGCCTCGGAGTCGTCCAGAGGCTCTGTTGCAGGGGGCTTTTCTTCGCGGTAGGGGCTTGCGGTGCTAAAGGGGTTATTCTGCCATGGTCCGGGACGGAGCGCGGTGTACCGCCCCGAGCAATCAGCGGTGTGGTCTGAGAGGAAACCGCCTTGGCCGCAGCCGGCGAGTGCGTCCCAGCATAACCAGCGGGCGAGGGTGTAGGGGATGATGAGGTAGTAGCGGAACAGGCCCGGGCGGCGGATGGTGTAGCGGAAGATGTAGAACATGTAGTGTCTGTTATCTGCGAGGGTGAAGGGGTGAATGATGGTGTTGAATCTGACGACGAGCAGGGTCAGAAGGAGGAGGGCGGGCGTTAGGAGGAGGTGGTAGAGTTTGGAACCGATGACTTTCCGGAGGGTGGTGAGGATGATTGAGGTTGAGGGGGTGGTTGCTGAATCGAGTTGCTCGGTAGAGTCTTGAGTTTGGAGTTTCTGTTTCTTTGAAGAGCTACCTTGAGCAGGTCCGCTGAGAGCGTGCTTGCGGCCGTGTGTGCTGGTATCGGAGTTTGCGCCCTTGACTGTGCTCGTCTTGAAGGTGGTACGATAGAGACCGTGAACGAAACGGAGGACCCCAATGACGGAAGGTAGGAAGAGTGGGAAAGAAAAGAATGCGAAGAGAGGCCAGATGTAGAGCATTTGGGCGAGGTGGATTGTCGCGACATGGTTGGATTTATCGCCTGGCGACATATTAGTCCTTGTATTCACTAGAGTTTTATGAAGAAAACACACCGAGCACGACGCCGCCGTTCCAGGCAACGAAGCCGGCGAAGAGGGCCATGATGGTAATGTGCGGATAGACCTTCTTCAGTACGCGAAGAGGATTGGCTAGAGCAGCGATGCCGATGCTCAGGGCGGAGAAGAATAAGTCTGGCAGTGTCAGTAGAGTTCCTTCCAGCCGTGTTTCAGTAGACTCACCATCTGGCCATGCAGTGTTGAGAGGCGGATCATGGACATCCCCAACAGAGTATCTCCACCCGTAGAACTTCACAACCTCGCCGAGTGTCGTCATGCTGGGCTTAGCCACCGGATCAGGACGGAGGGCCTTGACAGCGGCGACAGCCTCCAAGCCGCCCATATACACGACAACCCAAAAGACATTGGTCTGTCTCATGACAAGAGTCAAGACGCCGAGGACGATAGTGATCCAGTCACTCAAGAAAGAACTGCGCTCCTCACGGACGCGGTGGAGGTGGTGATAGTAGGCAATAAGGACTGACAGAGTCGAGACGACGTCGGTGTAGTACAGACCCGAGAAGAAGAAGAGAACAGGAAAGAGGGCAATGTTCCAGCCAAGGTGAATCGCGTGGAAGGAGAGCACTGCTGGGGGTGCTGGGGACTTGGCGTCGGGGTGGCGAGTCTCGAGGAGGTGGCGGCAGTGAGTCGCGAGGATGCCGACGCCGAGAATGGCGATGATGTTGACGCCACGGAGATCGAGGACAGAGCAGTCGGGTCTCATCATCACCTGAAGGTAGTATTTGGATAGAATGTACCTGGAGATTTGTTAGCTGGGTGTGGTGATGGGTCTAATGAGAATGACGGCTTACAAGCCGGGAGGAGTGGTAATCTTGTCATCCCACTCGTCCCATCTTCCTTGACAGAACTTCTGGGCTTGAGGAATATGAAAGATCTCATCCTATTTTTTGTGAGTATGGTGGAATGGTATCGATCTCATATATGGAAACTGAGCTCACCAGGTATGGCTTGTCGACTTGGGCCATGACATTGCTGCACCAGATCCAGCCGAGGATGAAGATGATGATGTACGACACGCGCATGAGCACATCGTAAATCTTGTTTGTCTTGGGGCCCGAGGGGTCGGGATTGGGCATCTTGGGGGTGATGACCCATAGTAGAGAGTAGAGAACGACGACGGACAGGATGTTGAGTCCGTCGACGAAGGCTTCGACGGCCTTCATCTTCAACGTGAGCTGCCCAGAGGGCAGACGAGATTGAGGTGGCTGGCCGTGGGGTTATGTTGGTTATGTTGGATGTAATCACTCAAGATGTGGAAAGAGGCCAAGAAGGAATTGAACAGAAATGAGTGTCAGAAAACAAGGGGAATGTGGCTTCGCCTGGGGATACAATGAGTGGTGGGAGCAGCAGCAAATGATCTCTTACACAGACAAGTGAGGTGGAAGAAAGTGAACAGTTCATCATTTGGCGAAGATGCAGCAATTACGCGTCTTCGCACTGTTTGCGCACGGTCTTTCACTCAACCTACTCGCTGAAGAAAGGGGCAGTTCAGCTCCCTGACAAAACTACTTTTACCAATGTTGTGTTTTGAGATGATGCGTAGAAGATACATAACACAGAATAGTTGCGTTGACTAAGTTCTCGAATCACTGCCTTATTCAAACACATCAACTAGAGTCAAAGAGTCTATTGTATCTTTTATACAAGCCCCGAAGGGTGGACACCCCTCCATCCCAACACCTCATTCAACCATGCTCACCACATTTTCAGCATTAGAAAAGCATAGCCAAGTTATGAAAGGCATTTAGAATGGCTGTTTGTCTAATGTTAGCATGTTGCCTTGGTGGTATTCGATCTTGAGGAAAGCTCACGTTGTCAGACGCAGGGGGAACCTCCTTGAGGAACTTGGGGCCAACAATGGGGATCTTCTGTAGAGGGTGTTAGTTCTCAGGTGAGTCCATTTCGGAGACGCAGTCTGCCTTACAACAAGGATGTCGTTCTGAATTCTCGGGATGCCGGAGGTGTAGAAGAGGGCGGCAACACCGGCGGCAGCGCCGAAACCTGCAGCGCGGGTTCCGCTAGCATAATAGGTTAGTTAATCCGTTCCGAATCTTCCAATTGTGTATAACTCTGTCTTGTGACGGTATCCGATAACTCCTCGTCGCCTCATGTCATCGTCTGTAACGTTCATGTCGGCAGAACAGTGGCAACGGCAACAAGGGTTTCTTGGGCCGAGAGTCGGAATCGTGATACTGAATGCCGTGCGAAGAGTCTAAGGGGCAACTCACAGCTTAACGACGGAGGCAATGGTCCAGCCACCAACGTTGGGGATTGTGTTGTACCTAGATCCAATCAGTCAGCCCACTGCTCTTTCGGTCCATTGCTCATCGCATGGAGTTTGTCTCGCGGTGTCGGGAATTCGGAGGCGCTTGAGAAGCCGTAGTCGAGAGGGATCAATCGTATGGGTATCGTAAGACGTACTTGGGGCCGAACTTGCTGCGGAAGGCAGGGTACAGAGTACCGACGCGAGCCTGCATTGCGACTTTTGTCAATATTTTGTCA